TTTTTAAGCGTCTTTTGGTAATAATCAGTAAAGATATTATTAAGGAGGGAAGCCATCTATGAAGGTCCATGTGGTCCTATGGCAAGCACAGATTTCATAATAATTTTGGTGGTAACATAGAACTTATTTCTATGTTTTGTTAACAATTAATTTATCGTGGAATTTGGAATCTCATATGAACAGTTGTTGTCCCTTTAATTATGTACATTTTTTGTCACAATGGAGAATCGAGTCATGAATTAGCCAGAGAAATATCTGTTAATATCTAGGGAAAAATCAGAGCGTAGGCAGAGCGTAGGAGAGAGTGTAGTTTTTATACGTGGTATACCATTGCAGTACCGGAGGGAAGGTAAACACGTAACAACACAACAAACTAGAAATTTAGCTGTTACGGGTTCGGGTTAGAAATCTTATTAATGCCAGCTAGGATCTGCAAAATCCTCTACAAGAGCTTTCTCTGGGTGTTACAAAATGAGACAAAAGACCCCTGTAAGATGATCAGTCTTTCATCCTATTTTAACAGCTGGAGAAGGCCTTTGGTAGAGGTAGAACCAGGGGACCTATGACGATGCTGACTTAAGCTGTTACAGATACAATAAAAATGGATTTCCTTACCAGCATTTTCGTTCACTTGCCTCTTTTTATGGTACCTAGCAAGTCGAAAATAAGGTAACAATAAGTTCAAGAAATAAGGTAATCTCTGTAACATTAATAACATTTTGACATGAGTCGCTACTGGGAGAAAGGGAGGGAGGAGGGATTTGACTATCATAAAAGCCTCTGTATTGCTTGATATCGATCTTATTATGCTTTTGTGTAAACAAAAACGTAAGACGGGATTATGGAGATAATGCCCTTCCTGCATACGTTCGTATCGAATAGGAAATGAATTAGAATACGGGAATTATGAATCTATTTCAATGTTTCTTCTGAAATTGTGCGCTGATACATTTGTGCCCTGAAATTAACTGAAATGATTTATTTCTTTTCTTTATCTTTTTTCTGGCAAATATATAGAATCCTTTCTTATGAAGGGAGGCTGGATAACCCTAAGCCATGCATTCGTATATATGAGTCGCGAAGTCATAAATCAAGAGATTCTTTATATATATATATATATATATATATACNGAAGTTGGCAACCGGCAAACGTCAACCTTCCGATGATTCGACCAAGCGCCCGTGTAAGCCCTCCGACCGCCACCTTCGCAGATCGTGCTAATGAAACGACAATTTACCCAGGCTTTCATAGCAGAGCGCGAGCAATTCCCTCTTCGGAAAATAGTGACATGTCCACGATTCGGTGCCGCCATGGTTACACCGTTGGCAAACAGCATATCTGGTTTTTCGTGTGGATTTATAGGTGCATTTTGTCTTACAGGGGCCCTATGCACCCCAAGAACCGATTTTCTAAATGTATTTGATGCAGCTAATGCAAACGCAGAACAAATAAGTAAGTGGCACCACTGCATTTGATATTTCTTTTCTATGTCTCGTAGTTGTTTGTTGAAACGGCTGAAACAGCTGCTGGCGGTATATAACAAAATAGTCTCCTGTAACCGCTAAGAATATACAGACTTGACATTTAATATGGAATATTTCAGTTTCGAAGGTGTGCCTAGGTAGAAATGCGTTCTTTTTTCAAAAAACTAATATCTCATAAAAGATATTTGAATGAAGAAGTGTGTAGTCAGGTGTGTCGCTTCCAATTAACTGAATACCAGGTTTGTTACGCTGCTGCATTATGTAATATGAAGTAATTTAATTGGGTAGTGCTCCTTTGGACAGGTCGAAGCTTGGCTTTGGCAAAGCACGGTTCTGTCAAAAAAGTATCCATATGTCGGCAACTACTGCATAGAAGAAATTGAAATTTTGCATGCAAGTGGTCGGTTTTGCAGTGTGTAAAATGAGCTATGCAGTGCTTTGCAAGTTTGTTAATCTGTGGCAAAATGGCGCGAAAAAGACAGACATTGCCAAACAGTTAATTGCGCCAAACGAAACGGTCTGCACAGTTTTATAGAATAATGCCCAGACTGATGTACCTACATAGAGGCCACACCCAATGTATTAAAATCTTACCACCAGAGTACAGGACCCACTGTCTTTCAGGATATGCCGTTGCAACTAAACAAAAACCACCCAGTCCGTTCAGAATGAGGGGTAAATTGCCATCAAAACGCATTTTTCAAGGCCCTTAGCGACGCCAAACTGGTTTTTGCAGGTTAGCATACCAGACGACCTCCGAGGAACCCACTGTAAACAGCAAAACATCGTTGTATGTTTCTCTAATGAATTAGGGACCATGACCGTTTCTGGGTTGAACACTGAAACCTCGTGGCTTTCTTTATTGAGGTCAGATTTCACCTGTACCGCTCAACTAGTCAAAACAGAGTTTACAGACATCCAGAAGAGGCCAACGACGAAGTGTGTGCCGCCTCTAAAGTGACTTAGGTCATTAACAGCGTCAGTATTTGAAGTGGATACCACATTGGTGCCAAAACACCAATGGCAGTCATCGACGAAAACCTGAACCAGATTAAATAAAGGAATAATCTGGGAACCACTTGACTATCATTTGATAGGGGGCACCTTAAGAACAATTTTAGGTTGTAGGGTGGGATTGCCGGTTCACACAGAGCACTTTTAATAACAGATTACTTAGAGAACCAAGGGAATGAACAGCTACCTTGGTCATCAAAACCGCCATATTTGAACCACATAGACAATATGTGGGTAGGCCATTACTCGCCAAATGAATGGCCTACATGTCCTACAACAAAACTGGGCCAAATTGGACAGATTTCGACCGATGCCTGGAATGTTATTCCAGATTGAACTCTAAAAACATATCCCAAGGAATGCCTTGCCGCTTGAGAGCGCTGGTAGCAGCCAGAAGAGGTCAGGCGTAACAGCGACTGTTACTGTGACTAGACACTGACATGAGGGTCCTTTGTGGAGCGTGTAACTCTTTTACAGACAATAATTTGGAAAATATGGAGATCCAAAATATCTCATTTAATGGTTGCCGTATGAAGTAGAAAAGGCAATGTGTTTTTGTTTGCTTCTCTGGCGAATTCCATTAATGAACTGATGTCACAATGACATCAAGGAGATAATTAAAAGTTATTAAAACACGATTTTAATCCTTATTTTCATTTATCAGTCAGAAAAATAAGAAAAAAACTGATGAAAAATGATTTGGAAAATATATTCCATATTAAATGTCAAGTCTGTATTTATTTAGAAGACACGTGCCCAACTCCCCCAAAGATACCCAATGCTGTAGCCGGCCAGACATCCACCAGTCACGGTAGTACAGTACAGTATACCTGCCTACCGGGACATACCAATGTCGGCAATGTCACTACCATGACCTGTGTATACGGAGAGTGGAAGATGGCTGGGACGATGACTTGCACTAGTAAGACGATATCCTACGTTTTTCAGTGTTTTACTGTCATTTTTATGAGTACTCTTGGAAAAATCATAAGTTTATAATTTTTTATAATATTTTAAGAACATTTTTCTTTGTACATGCATATATTAGATGGCTTACTTTTGGACCATACACAGTGCAAGGGTATGCTAGCTTAACTTTGTTGCTTCAGGGCGATTTCTGAACTAATATTAAAACTATGCAAAAATACGTCTTTTTCTAAATTTTTCCTCTTTAAAATCTTTCGGGTTCTTCGTATCCCAGTAAAACTCAAACGAGTTTTACGAATCGATAGATAAAATACTTCTGACTGCCCCGTATCAAGGATGAAAATCAATGCGATATGGCAATCTTTTATAGTGTAATGACAAAACCGCATGAAAATAGTGACGTAGCTGTAATAAGATTGACGTGTCAAACTGCTGCTGTTCTTGCACTCGTAGAAGCGTATCCAGACCCCCCTAAACTGAGTGGGGGGGGATAATTCTGAATGTCCTGTAACAGTGAGGGTATATGGTAGTCTTATTTAGTGTTATGTCAACACTTCAATACGAAGTGACACCGCTGCATGAAAGATTGTTGTATCATACAGATTTTGTTCTTGTAGAAGCGTGTCCAGATCCCCCTAAGCTGACCGGTGCACATATAACGTCTGCGGCGAGGAAGTTCTATCTGGAAGGCCACAATGTCACCTATCAGTGTGAGAGAGGGTACCAGAGCACAACTTATCCAGAAACAGCACACACCAAGATGTGTACCAACAGCGTCTGGAAGGGAACAGACTTCACCTGCAAACGTCAGTACGATTAGAACTATTCAAAGAGCGTCTTTTAAAATTGTACGTGCTGTACAACCTTAACGAATTTTAAAAACCTACACAATCCTTCCATAATTCAGGTTATTGGTTAGAAAAACTTGTATTTGAGATATTTCCAAATGTTCAATGGTGGCTGTTCTTTCTTTTGGTATTATGATACAGCATACCACATCCTTATATCATGAGACCCTTTTTTCATTGACAGGGGTTTGTCAATCCCCTCCAGACGTTAAGAACGCCGTGGTAACGCCTCCTCCACCCCCATTCTTTGAAGGAACAGCAGTGCAGTATACTTGTATCCCTGGGTTAGTGGCAGTAAATAGGACTGCTCTGAAAACCTGCGTTGGAGGCAACTGGACTGGCGATGACATCGACTGTCAAAGTATTTACTTAATTTCAGTTATTTGGTGTTTTTTGTTAGACATATGAATGTAACATATATATATATATGAAATACCGATATAATATAATTTGGTTAGCTTTGCTCAAAAAACAGATCTCCACGACTGGACTTGAAATTTTGAAACATGATTATGTCTTTTACCATCTTCTAAAAAATGTTCTCTTTTCAGAGGTATGTGCTCAGTTACCCTACGTTGAGAACACTAACGTCATAATGAACCACGTCCCCGGCGGAAGACTTATAGAGGGCGCTAGGGTTATCCACCGCTGCCAGACAGGCTACACTCAGGTCGGAGGCAATAGTCTCCGTGTGTGCCATGACAGCAGCTGGACAGGGAAGGACATTCAATGTGAAAGTGAGTAGTACCAGCGGGGTTGAAAACTCAGGCCGGGTGTACGTTGAGTAGAGAATCCTGATATTGTGTCCCTTTTACACATAGTACACCTAAAATAAAGCGTGCACGGAGTAACCATGAGTAACTCAAGATGCATTTTTTTGGGGTTTCTTTGTCGCAATTGTGCCCATGATATATAACACAAGGGACTTACTTATGCTTCTGTTATTGTGTACGTCGAGCTGCTCATCAAAGTTATTTTCTATGAGGGTTTTTATCGCTTTGAAGGTGTCAATTGGGGGGAAATGTTGTCCTCCAGAATATATGTAGACAGAAAATATATATTTAGGACATTTTCAAACGCGCACGGTGTACCTTTAATTTTCAGAATCGTGCCAAGCGCCTCCAGCTATCCGTAACACCGAAATGGCCGACACCTCATCCACATATCGGCATGGTACCGAGGTCCGCTACCAGTGTGTGAATGGAACGCTTAAAGTTGGGGGATCAGAGACTAAACAGTGCGTATCAGGGAACTGGTCCACTCCGGATGATCTACACTGTGAAAGTAAGTAAACACAGGATAGCGCTACGTGATTAGGCCTATATATTAAATGTGACTCCGTAGCATTAATATATTTATCTATTGTTAATGAACTAGGTTTGGGGCGATTTCAAGTTTTGATTTAATTTTTCTAATGACGTTGCCAAAACACATCCTATCACTATTGCCCCTTTACATTTTAACTTGATCAAGGAACAAATCTTTTGTGTGTTTTCATAAAAGGTGAATTCAGAAGGTCTAAAGGACCCGTGGTTTATCCCTACATCAAATTTTACTCAAGAGGCATAACTTTCCAACCAAAGTACATTAAAAAAAAACAAACAAACAAACAAATATCCCACTTCAGAACCGTGCAGCCGCCCTCCTCACTTCCCGCTCAGCCGCCGTGTATTGCTGAAGGTAGGGCCATACGTGCCAGAACATTACGTCCAAGGAAACCAGGTGAAATACGAGTGTAGACCAGGTTATGAGAACATCAACACTGGGGACATTAAGACGTGCGAGGATGGTCGCTGGGTTGGCGCGGACGTTAACTGTCAAAGTATGGTCTATGTAAAGATAATTATTTTTTGTTCTATAATGTTTCACTTCAAATAGGAAGACAAAACCTAATGGTTACGCTGAAACGTTTCGTTATAGTCCAGGTTATACACTTGAATCTCAATAATAATGCTACTGATAATTAAGTATATGAGGTCGACTATAATTTAAAATTTGAAAATGAATAAATTGGGAATGATAGATTAGTTTGTGACGGGAATAGAAAAATAGATATACACTAGATAAACTAAATGAATAGGTACAATGTACTTAAGATCATCTGTGTTACAAAAGAATTTTATCTAGCCTTCAGAAGGCCGATTTAAATAAAGTATATTTTTCAACAGACACAAAAAGTTCTTCACAAAGGTACACACCATTTCTCCTTTACAGAATTGACTACCACCACGACCGTCACCACCGTGACCACGACTGAGAAACCAATCCCCACTACAGATACCAAGGAGCCATTTGCAGGAAGCACGAAACCAACACCTACGCCAAAGATAATAGACCCCGTGGAGCCAGGCTCGGGGGATGCCGAGAAGGATGATAACTTGGGCCTGGTTGAAGAAATCCTCTAGTCACTAACGGTTCCCGTTGTAAGAAGAACTTCTAGATGTCACTTAGTACTAGTGCACTATGCGTCTTGACAATCAGAAGCATATATATAAACTGTTTATTATACGCTCCACTAGTCTAGATGAAATTCAAATGCAAAATTTTATCAGAGATATATGTATATAAATATTAAATTGACTTTTAACAATTAAACAGTAAAAAGCATATATTAACAGCAAGTCTTAAAATTGGATGCTTGTTCAAATGAAGAGTGTGATTTACTTCAATGTGTTCTTAAAATCATACATATGCATTTCCTGTTTAAATTGTTCAAATTTTAAATGTGCAGCTATACATTTTTTAAGACTAGAAGTAAGATTTTATGGAATGTGAAGACTGTTACAAGTCTTTTATTTTTTCATTTATGCTCATGAAATTCATGACTATAAAATACTGCTACAGCTTCCTTTGATTTTTTTCTTGATTTTCGAACACAGCATACGTTTTAACACAAACAGCATACATTTTAACACATCTTACTAAAATTCTTCAAAAATAATCAAATACCCTTTTCTATGAATTAAAACATTTATAATTTGTAAATATGCCTTAATTTGTTAAGTCTCTCACTACAACTTTTACTTATCTTCCATACCTACCATAAGACAATACACACTTTCACATGCATTCTACAAAAACTATCAAAACTTCTCACAAAACTTGTCTTGATCTTATCGAGATATCCTACATACTGTATCTTTACTCTGAAAAACTTAAAATTCACAACCTTCAAGTAGTGGGTTAAACTATATACTAATTGGCAAAAACACAGTATGTTTCATTTTTCACAACCATCTCAACCCCACAGAAATCATGTTATAAGAATACAAATTCTATCTTGAAGCAAAATCTATCAATCAATAAACAGAAAACTAACTGATAGAAAGTGAATTACCAACACAATAAAGTAGGTACTTTCCAATAATATTAATAATAATATAACATTTACCCATTTTTGATAATATCTGAATTGCTATAGTATAATCTCTCTTAAATCTAACACAACAAATATGAATGCTGTAATTGTAATGCCACTAAGTCTAATTAAGCCTCAAATTAAGCATCTTCTAGGCTTTCTGCACCAGTAAAAGTTCACTTAAAAGCTGCCCTACATTTTAAGAGAAGACTAGATTTAATTATGCTACGCCCCTGATGACACGATTGTCTTGCATATATATATTTGAAATAATGTATATTTGGATGGGAAACTGGGGGAAATCACATTTCTATCACTATCAAATACAAGAGACTGGAAACAATATTATCAAAAAGACAATGCATATAAAGGGATGATAATGGCTGGTCCCTAGGCAAGACATGGAATATGTGTTCCAGATATTGGTCCCTGTTTTTAACACTTTTGAAACTAATAAAATATGATAATGAAAAACACCTTGTTCCAATGAACAGTGTTACAGCACATTTGTTCATGAAGGCATTTTCCATTGAAGAATCCTTTGATGTCATCAGATATTGGTCAAATATTAAGTAAGAGACTGTTTAAAGTAATATCAGGGCAAGTTTCAGCTGCTTGTCACAAATACTAAGCAGAATAAACTAGAGGCAGGAATGTGATGTGAAAATCTGTTTATGATGTCAGAAGGTCACACCGTGTCTTTTCTAGTAAATGTCATCTGTTAAGGTCACATAAACTTAACTGAAATTTGTCTCCAGGTCAACAAGAGTTCTTTTTATATACATGATCTCCTAATAAGATCACAGCACTCACTGCTATACTTAGGTCACACAGTGTCCTTTGTGATACTGTAGACATGATCTCTTTAGGTCACACAGTGTCCTTTGTGATACTGTAGACATGATCTCTTTAGGTCACACAGTGCCCTTTGTGATACTGTAGACATGATCTCTTTAGGTCACACAGTGTCCTTTGTGATACTGTAGACATGATCTCTTTAGGTCACACAGTGTCCTCATCTATCTCTATATATAAGTCACACAAATCCCTCTGAGATACGTGTTATCTCGTAAGGTCAGCAGTATTCTTTGTAATTTGCTTGTGGTCACAGTAAGCTCTAAATACCAAATATGATCAACATAAGCTCTAAAATAACAATGATCTGTGTTTAACTGATCAGACATTGTGGCACCATGTAAAGTTGGTTTCACCTGGAGTATATTTTTACAATACTAATAACTTTGTGGTCAATCTCTCAGGCTACTTCAATAACTGTGATCTTCATATCAGTAAACCCTGCTGTAACCACTGGAAAGAAAACATTTCACATGAACAACATGTCTGGGCAAATCACCAGTATTAAAAACACTTACTATTTTTTTACAGACTTTACATGGAAGAATATTAGCTGATGTTAAATAAGTGAAAAAGACTCACCTCATCAACTGAAAACACAGCCTTTCCATTTTGCTGATGGGCCTTGAATATCTCTAGAAAATGAAAAGAAAGAAATGTAGAGCAGCACAAAGGCAAACTACTGATATGGCAATAAAAATTCAATTATATTTGTCATGTGCGGGAGTATATACTGGCTTCCTATGTTTAGTTGAAAAACGATTTCAGACATTAGAGGTCAAAGTTAATTTAAAAAAAATACAGAAAATGCAAGCACCATAGTTGTGCAGCTCTGTGTAAAAGGTCTGGGGCATAAATATTAATACAACACCCAAAAATCCAGATAAATCGGGAAGACTTTCAACTCTGATTCTCTATAGTAATGTTAAGACATTGGCCCCCTTCAGAATAGGGGACTAACTAGTCCAAGGGTCAAATATGGTGACCCACTACAAAGCTTGCAGTCTAATCCGCTAAAAGACACTGAGTAGATATCCCATGGGGAAGTATTCAAGTGAGTCAGCCATATTTGACCCTCAGACTAGTTTGTCCCCCATTCCAAATAGGGCTATTCAAAGTCGGAGTACTCACTAGTCAGCTGGGTAATCCTGGCCATACACATGATAAAACTGTCTATGCTGATCTGGTACTGTTCATCTGAATACCTCAACACCAAGGCACTCAACACTTTACTGTTGAATTTAAAACCTGAAACCAAGAGGTATAAATGGAGATGGGTGGATTCCTGGTTCTTCACATCAAAAAATGAATAAACTGAGACATATTGAGGGACTTTTGGATTAAGACAGATCTTCAACATCACCCCCCCCCCCCCCTCCTCCCCCACTTCGTGGATCTTCCTCCGATCACATGAGACAGAAAACTTCAGGTGATAAATTGAAGGCAAGGTCCCTCAACATGCTTTTAACTTTTATTTATAGAAATTAGAACTTGCCCTATTATTAAAGCAAGAAGTTACAATGAATAGGTTCAAGAAAGTGGGCCTAATACTGTTTAAAGGAGAGGTGATTTAAAGGTGATTATATAAGCCCCAGTATATTTTATCAACAGGTTACTGTCACCAGGTTATGTGAAGATTTCAGAAAACTAGAAACATGATGCTGTCTGATCAGGCTTGCATGTTTCTTAAATGCTAGGGAAACATGGGATCATTATTGCTTACACTTGATTTTAGCCAAATACTAAAAAAAAAAATGATTGTACAAGTCAATATTTTGCATCTAGACAAGGACCAATTAGTATTACTCAAAAATACTTCCCCGACCTAAGACTGATTTTAAGCATTTGGAGCAGATTTTATGTGCTAACAAGAGCCTTTGAATAAAGTTATTGTTAAGGGTAGGATTTAATTTTTTTGTTACTAGGGTTACAATGGGTGTTGGTATTACTGACACAAGACCTCAAATCAAAATAGTTGTATTTTCAAATGAAAGAATTAGCCCCACTATAGTGCAGGTTGACATGTGAATAATCCTTGCTGAAGGATATAGGTAAATATGTTATAATCTTTACATAAAAGTTAGCTACATTATATGATGCAAATATAAATGCATTTGATTCTAAAACTCTCTAACATCATTTTAAGCAGGTATAATAAATCACATTCTGAACATGTCTTACTGTGGCAACACAACTTTAAGTTCCAGCAAAACCCAATGAGATCTACAGAACTAATGTGACAAGTAACAATTTTCTGCTTAGAAATGATGTCAGAGTGCTTTCAAACAAAGGTGAATAAGTACACAAGTTCCCAGCATACCTAGCGGCTGTAGCACCGTTCTTAGTTGATAAGCGCTCAGTTTTAACTGTGTCCGCCCTGGTTCTGCATTGTTGTATGTGGTCTGCCAACAAAATAGATTAGTACGTCAAAGCAGAGAGCATTTACTTACTGGCCAACACCACTGTTAGGTTATGCTTTTGAATCAATTAATAAATTTAGCAATAATGATTAATAATATATATACAATTAGGTGGTTGCCCCTCTTCCAATTCTGCATAAATAATGATGATGATGACAGCAGCAATATTTGTATAGAGAAAACAGATGATGAAATACAGATGTATTGCACTTACAAAAAAAATTATAAAATTATAATATAAAAAGAAAGTACAAATATCAAGATACAAAGCAGCATATTTTTATAAAAGGGGGGGGGTCTTACCTGAGATATTTCACCACATTTACGAAATTCTAATCTCTTGTACACAGCAAATATAAAGTAATTTCTTCGAATGATCTCATCTTAAAGATTCCATAACATAAGTATGAGTACCCCCAACCTCCATGAGGAAATGCTACTCTGAGAGAAATAATCTAACACATACCATCCATAGCTTTATCATATTCCACAGCTGTATAAACTCAAAGAAGCCCAGTTTTCCTGAACAATCCTCCTTTTGATAAGTCAAGGAAGATCGCATATGTCAAAATAAAAAAAATCCAGAATAGAAATAAAATGGTGTCATATTACACAATTTTCTTCTCAAAAGAATGTTAAAATATATCCAATAACACATCTGAGAAAAATAACAAGGATACATCAAATATTGCTAGCAAGGCTTTACAGGCATCTATGCCAAGGTCTTGATGATTTGGATCTGGAAGAAAAATAATAAGATAGACCATCAGAAGTATTAAAAAAATTATTCATCTATGGATACAAACTACTTTTAATACAATGTCAACACGGTTGTTATTACATATTTACACAGAATATGTGACGATTTGGAGAAAAAGATTTATTCTCGGATTCCATTAATTTCTTTGTATTTAGTGACTTAAGCATACATATTTCATACCTGATTTCAGAGCTGTGTTTATTAACCTTCTGAATTCATAGCAGTCAATCATCATATCCTGGGAAACAAAGCAAAAAAAAAAAAAATAATAAATAAATAAAAATAAAAGCCATTAACCACAATGATACCATTCTCATACTTCTGAACACTGAGCAAATCAGAATTATCCATAATTCAGGGTCAGGCACATAGGCAAGGGGCAGGGGAGTTGACAGGTTTGGACGGACTTCCCTTTTGGCTCGATATGGTCTGCTCTCAAAAGTTTATCTAGGTAAGGTTCTGTGTCATTTCTTAATTAAGAGTTGGCTAAGGTTGTAAAGAGGTCTCCTTTTACAGTAAAAAGTCCCCCACTTTTGAACTTGCAGGTTACATGCCTGAGCAGACCGTTTTACCTTGTCGAAGCCGACATCAACCTTTGAAACCCACGGTAATTAGAATATAAAAGCTCCAATATTGTATAACGATAATTTAAAACAAAGCATGTGCACCATAGCACACGTATACACACTATAACACAATACATGCACACTGTATTACACATAACCCACCTCCCCAGAAGACTCGTAGAAAAATCTCTTGAATTTCTCTTCTCCCTCCTTGACGGTGGGGTCTATAGTGGGAGGCACAGGACCTGTAAATTCTGCTGCCTCATCTGTTGGCCTGAGAACACAACAATAAGAAAAGCAGAAGTCCATAAGAAAACCATGAATAAGAAATATGCTATAGCTGGGTAAAAATATAGGTGAGTATTCTCCCAGCATGACTTTTGAACCTTAAAGTTTGACTATTTTAGGACAAGTAAGTGGTAGATAACAGGTGTCTCATAAAAAATCCACTGTACATCATTGCATGGCAACTATTTGCAGGAACAGGAGAGGAAATTAGAGAGTGCTACTTGCTATGCTTATAATCCCATCCAAATCAAACTGTCACAACCCTTTAATTTTAAATCTCCTTTTACTCACACTGTGAAATTATCATTTTCAAAAAACACTCGCAGAAGGAAGTCTGCCTCCACGTGAGCCTCGTATGTACATGGAATCACCACATAGTCTCCTGGTTCCATGAGAAATCTCTTCACTATCTGCCGAGTGTTAGAAAAATAATCACACCTCTCCACAAAACCAAACAGATTGAAGTAAGCTCTTGGGAGAGGCATTGGGTATTCTTTGGAATACTGAAATAGGATGATATAAGTTTAGTTGTTTAATTACATACAAGATAAAATGTTCATGACTCAAAATCTGAGTTCAAGGCTGGAAGATCTACTATTTTAATTTCATCTCCACTGAAGTTTCAGCACTTATCATTTCTAGTATTTTTTGAATATAATATTTTTCTTACCTCATGTTTCATTAATAAATAAATAAACAAATAATTCATGAAATAAAACAATGCAGTTTACACACACAAAAAATGAAAATTATGCCCCTGCTGTACCTTATACACCAGAAACCCTATGTCCACATTCTTTGTTCCTCTGTGTTTGAGTTTCCGTCTGTCTTTCTGTATAAGTTCTACAATAAAACTGCACAAATTGTCCTCATCTTCATCTGTATCCCTAAGAGTAACTTTATATTGTGGATTGGTCCAATGGGTCTCTGAATAGGAAAGAAACACTGAGTTAAAAAGAGGAAAATACAGACCTTAAAGCTGCAGCTGCTCAGTCTTGGGGTTCAGTGTGACTATCAGTGATAAAATCCATACAACTGCATATCAAGGTCTGTCTTTGAAGACCACACTTTTGAACCAATTTTATATCAATAAAAGGAAAACAACAAAACATGCCAATTTAGGCAATCACAGTGCATGCTTAACAGACATTTATGATGTATCAGATCTCATTTCCGAGATAAAATAGTTTGGTCTTATCATTGTCCAGTAAATGTAACAAAGCACTTGGACTTTGTTTTAAAGTGTCAGAGCTTATACAAACAATAAGACCTTACATATAACTTTCTCCGAGCAAGGTGTGAAGCAAGAGTGATACACATACAATGTTGTAAAGCAAAATGATTTGTTACCACACCACTGCATACACTGAGTGAGAACCAAAAACACTTTCAAACAAACCAAAATAAGAATTGCCTTGGTAGCAATTTGCTTTTATTTCAATACACAAAATATCCCTAAGCAAAATTCCAAAACACCATGCTGATAAAACCTGCACACTGCAGCAAAAAAATAAAGATAACTAGCTGAAGACGTAAATATTCATAAATTTGGCCCCATCAGACATGAAATGCATGTAACATTCAGAGGAAAGTATAAAAAGACGACACATTCTACGTAACTGCTCAGTGTAGAAATATAACTATTATGATCAAGATAAAAACTAAATTATTATAAAATTGTGCTGTCTATTACACACACCAGTTGATATATGGCCTAATGATGTGATAGACTAAAAGCAGCTAGCTATCATAGAAAAAAAAGTGAAATCAAAAGAGTTAGTGGAACAATTACTCAATCCATGTTAAAATCAACAATTCCTACAGAAGCAGCCGAGAGTTATCCTAACGCAGCATAGCTTTACCTGATATAACTAGTTTTCCACTTTCATCTGTAATTACACATAATGAATATCAGTCAAACTTTCAATGGATTATCTACGGCTTACATGAATGCTAGTATAACTGCTGAAGAGCAACCACATTTAATTATTATGAACTAATTAAAAAGCGAAAAAACAAACATACTCCCCAACTTAAGTTCATTTGTGAATTCCAAATAACTGCCTTCATAAAATATTGACAGTTGTAAGAAAATAATAATTCCAAATCATATTATTTGGCTTGAATAAATAAATTAAATAATACTTAACCTCTCATGACGGGTCGTCCTCCAGAAGAAATCCCCTTTTGCCATCGTCCGTGAAACTGGGCCACCTTCCACCGTCTTGGGGTATCTAGGGGGGAATCCGGGGTGAGGTTGCAGATATCCAGGGTGTCAAAGTTTTCTAGGAAATCTCGGAAATCCATCCAGAACTCTCCGTCATCCCTGAACACTAGCCCCATGGCTTCTCTGTCCTCAGGTGGGATACTGTTCCATTCTGGTGACCTGGGCACAGAAACAAACAACATTTTGATTTTTACTTTGGAAGACTTAGATGACATTTAATTTAAAATGTTTTTTTTTTATCTACAGCCTTTCAAATATTTACACCTCTTTCAAATGTCATTTTAATATATTATGTTCACCGTACTGACCTATCTTACAGTACCCAGTAAGATATACGTCACTTCAGTTATGATAACTGTGTAAACCAAAAAACTACTGACTTGGTTCACAGTGAGAATAATTGCAAACATTTTACAAAAGAAGTCAAAGATAAAAGAAGTCTGTATCCACATTATCTGAACAATATAAAGAATGAATTACTTTTGAATAGTGTGTGTGTGTGTGTGTGTGTGTGTGTAAGGTCTACCTATCTCCCCAGGGTCCATTCCACTCTACCCTGGTCCCCCAGGGATTTCTGATGCGTACCAGCGTGATGGGAATCTCTCCTCGGTCTGAAACTAGTCGTATCTGAAACATTACACAAGATTAAACATGAACAAGGCAGCAAAGCTGTCAAATGTACAGACAAAAAGTGGAAAATAAGGATGCACAAAATACATTACTGTCAAAACTTCAATAAAAATAAACTAATCAAGCTAATTTTCAAACTATATATGATCTATATATAAAACTTTGAATCAATACTGATAGTCTCAAAGCAAAATATTACATGGTTTTCATTTTATTTGTATAATGTTGCATAAAATATGCTGAAAAAAAGCAAAAAAGCAGCATAACTTCTGAAAAAATGGTCCAATCAAACCATTTTCGAACTTGACCTGTATTTTATGAATATTCATCAGTTCTGTTAGTTTATAAAAAAGCCAAAAAAAAAGCATAACGTTTAGAAAATGATCTGAGGGCTTTACAGGCAGACAACATGTTGATCAGACACCAGTTAGGGCAGCTCCAAGTAGTTAGCCAGCTAAGCTAAAGCTAAACAAGTTTGCCCATACTATGTATATGAGAAGGGCTGCCAGATATTTGGACGCTCTTTAGATCAAAATCTCCTAGGACATAGGTAAAACTTGGGAGTCATTGTTTTGTGAACTCATAGGCAAAAGCTACAACAGAATGAGTCTTAATGTAATTGATACAAAAACTGATGACAGTAATGACAGCCAGCCCAACTGTTATGAGAGCCAGGCTAGAAAGGCAATGGCTACTTGGAAACAAAGACAAGGGCAGCATGTGAATATGGACATCTTGGCAAATGCCCTCACAAAATTTGACAGAAGTGACCTGGCAGACTTTGTCAAAAATGCCCTTCAACAATGGCAACTGGGTCCCACAGGAAAACCCTCCAACTTGTAACTATAAAATATAAATTTAGGTTATGTTGCCAAATGAAGTGTACAAAATAACTATAAAACACTCACAAAAGTCACACATTTAAAATAACTGCTCTTGCATCAACTTTTCTCTGCTATGGTATTTTGTCACAACTCAACTTATATTTATCTGTATTCAAATATTGAAACTGTGATGAACTGCTCATAATGCTACTCACTGCAATATGACCTTACGGACATTCTCAATCTTCTTCATATGGCCACTTTTTAATTCACACTAGTGATATGAGATCATGTTCTGTATTGGTAACTGGTATTATGATTGTAGCTATAGATAGTGTACAAAGCTCTATATATAACTAATTCACAGCAGCAATATGAGCTTATACTTTATATCTCTGTATGATTCACCTGAATTCTGACTACAGTTAGAGGTCATTCTGACTATGGTTACAGATTATGTACATGCAAAGTTATATGGAACTTGATAATGAAATATTAATGTCACCTGCAGTATATTGCATCATATCAGCTATAACAAATATATTGGTACATTACGTGTACAAAAATAATTTACAGTATATGTCAGTAAAGGTGTCCAACATGAGATCTGCCACATACGTGTACTACTGCAGAGTATCAGATGTAATAGACCAAGAAATCTGGGAAATTAAGCACTGAAAAATTCAATCAAAAGCAATTAGATTCTAGTGAGCTCAAATTTTACCAGGAAGTAATTTTTTAGTTTTCTTGATGTCTGTGTCCACTTTTCAAGAGTGAACAAATCAATCATTAACAAGAGTTAGAGTGAAAAATTCCAGTCTCCTTTTCCATTCCGGACATGACTATGGCTATGGCATTTTCATAAATCATACAAATCACATGGTATAATCTTGTGATGAATTCAACTATAAAGAGAAGGGGGACGACCCCCCCCCCAATCTTGCTGTGTTACCACTGTACATACAAACAATAACTGACCTGGGCATTCACTTTTTTATTTTAAAAAAGTAAATATAAATTCAAAATATTCAGCTCAGCAATGGCATGGTGGCAAATGGTGAAAGGAAAAAATAGAAGACAAAAAAGAAAATGTAAAGATCTCCCCAAAAGGCAATGTTTTGATTTACCAAATTTTCAGTGGCTTTTGATACAAATGACTAATTCTTAATTTCTGATAGTCCATCTTCCTGGGCTCTTGTAGGGAGTAAATTTATTTTTGCAATAACAGTTGAGAAACTAAAATGTCATTAGTCCAATAATTATTTTCTGACCCTTATAGATAAGATTACCCCATTTAATGACCAACCACATCAGTCTGGGTGATGTTTGTTCTGATAGAAGCTAATCTCAGGTGACAGGTATACGGTCTCAAAAAATATTGCTTCCACAACATATCAAGTCTAAATTGTGATTCAGAAAAGAAATCAAAGTAAAATGACAGAGGGTTTTTAAAAATGTTATTTCTCCTATAAACTGTTATTTGGAAACTGTTTTACTATGTTTTATGCTTTTAACTAGCTTGTATCACTATGAATGTGATAAAATTTTGCCGTGTGTCACCTTGAACTTTTGGTGGGTCCACAGCACCATGTACATTATGGCAGATAAAGCTGCTATATCAAAACTATCAAAGTCAGAACAGCAGATACAACAGGGATTATGGCTGCGAGCGTACCTCAATCAAGAGAGGATGGCACAAAAGACCTTCGCAATTGCCCAAAATGTAAAAAACATATGAATGCCCCAAGACTTCTTCTGAGCTGTTGGCATATTTTGTGTGAGAACTGTCTTGCTGATGCCATAAAGGAGAAGAAGCATGGAGAAACCTTCCAGTGCTTTGTGTGCAGTAAAAATGTCCCTGTGCCTTGGGATGGCGTGGCTGAATTTCCAGTTCCTTTGTTCCTACAGTGCGAGCCCGTACCCTCCACCACAGATGCCATATGTTATCAGCATTATGAAGAGAAGGTGACAATGTACTGTAAGAAGTGTGAGATGGCAATATGTCATGTGTGTGTGGTGACAGAGGACTGTCACAAAGACCACCCCTGTGTAAGTGTTAGGATATCATTTGATGAATTGGACAGTAAAAAGAAACAACTCGGTAAACAAGTTCAGAAACTGAGAGTAAAAATCAAGGAAAAAAAGGACACCATTACCGAGCTTGACCGCCAGGAGAAAGAACTCACAGCAGAAGAGGATGAGGCAGAAAGAGAAATTGAAGCTCATTCCCAGCAGCTTGTTGATTTAATAAACAGACAGAAGGAAGAAATGAAGAGTCAACTTCGTGCCAAAGTTAATGTCGAACAGTGCTTCCATGCAAAGAGACGCCGTGATGTGATCAAGTCAATAAATGGATTGGCAATGATAGCAGAACTGGCTGTTCACTTGATGGAAAATGCATCACCCAAGGAAATAATGCTGCACCAAAAGTCTCTCTCTTCTACTATGGCTAAACATGAAGCAGAGACAAAGGACAACATTTCCAAGAAAGATAAAGTTGTATACGTCCCTTACAATGATGCAAACGTCAAGAACACAATTGGGGAAGTATCTGGGGGAACAACTTTCCATAGTGTAGTTGGACTAGAACTAGTAACAGAGTTTAGTGCCAAAGCTGAAATAGATAAAGACACTCCAGACATAGCGGCCTTGGTAGTTGACAATTCCACGAATATAATTGTACCAGATTGGGAAAACAATAACTTGAAACTATTTGACAGAAGTGGTAGATTGGTGTCAGTGTGGTCAGGTGATGGTGTACATAGGTTAAGTTGTCCTACAGGTGTGTGCTGTACCAGTGGTGGAAATATAGCAATATGTAATGAGGACGAAATATTGTTCTTAGATTCTCGGCAAAAGTTTAAGATAACTAGAATCATCACATGCCATACTTGTAGTGGTGTTGTACTTTCAAGTGACCATCTTGTGTGTACTGCAAGTGATGGTTTTTCAGGTAGTGTGGTGATATTTAACACACATAATGGTAGTGTAGTGAGAATGATAAGTAAGGACAAAGATGGCAGTGACCTTTTTAGGTATCCTTTTGGGATAGCCTTGACCAGGCAGGGTAACCTGGTGGTGACAGATATTAGTAAGCACTGTGTCTATGTACTGACCATGGAAGGGGAGGTATTACACATGTATGGTAGGTACGGGTTAGCTTCAGAGGAGAATAACTGTTTAAATTACCCATATGGTGTGTGTGTTGACCAGTTTGGTCACATTCTGGTCACTGACAGGAACAGTGGTCGTATCCACATGCTGTCCCCAAAGGCTGAGTTTATATGTCATTTTGCCACTAGGGGGGGTGGTCTGGTAGAACCCCAGGGTATTGCTTTAGACCAGGAGGGACATCTTATTGTGTCTGAGAGCAGTACTGGGAAAATTAAAGTTTTTGATTATCCAATTTAAGACAGGTTATATATATATATATATATAGGGTTCTCTTTGCATCAAGTGGTGCAGTTTTCTGTATGGCACCAATGTGTTTGGTCCTAGTATGTAATAAGGGCATGGGGAGTGGGGGGGGGAGGGTACCCCTACTGCAATAATAATACTATATAATATGTTTTGTAATGTTGTAATATGTTTTGAAATCAGATGTGAGGCCTTGGTTGCTCTCAGGGTACAAATAGCATAAGGTGTGTAAATATCCAATAACATAATCATTGCTTTATGGGTGCATTGATCTACAGAACAGCTTCTAAAGCTACTTATGTGTATAGTTAGTGCCTTTGTGTATATTTAATTATTGACTGAAAACTTGATTATAAAATCAAATATATTCTGCTTACTGTAATCAAATATATTCTGCTTATTTTATATATCTTAATACATTCAATTTGTATACATATAATATTTCACTCAGATTTGTTTTTTTTTTTTTTAAGTTATGTGATTTGTCTAGTATTCAAAACCTAGCAAATAACTGATTTTTAAAAATGATTTTATTGTGTTTTTGGCTAATTTATCTGATGTCTGGAGTTGAAATACCTGTCAGAGATCCATCACAATAATAATCAGAAACAAGGCTGCAAAGCTGTCAAATGTACAGACAAAAAGCAGAAAATAAAGATGCTGAATAAAGGTCACATTTGTCAATTTTGATGCAATAATAAATAATGCTTATAACAGGTAAGATGGTCAATAATATAACAGTTTCAGGACCACAAGAGTTCAAATTCACAAAATGAAAATCCCAATATGTGAAAAATGATGACAGTACAAAAAATAATATTACATAATGTTTAATGGTATAAACACCAATATTATTGCTTATGTGGAAATACCGAAAATGTACAGAGCTTCAGGTGGATGGGAGTTAAGTCACATTTGAAAATGCCAGTGTTTGAAAAAAAAAAATTAAAAAAGAAAGCATAAAAAATATTTCAATAAAGCTGCTATTCGAACTTTTAAGCCAGCTGTATTAATATGATATGAATAACCCCATTGAGTTTGAGGATAATAAAGCACAGTTATTTAGCTATATCATTAATTTTGGCATTACACAGAATAGTTTTTTTCTTATGTAAACTTTCACGCCTCCACGTCGTCCCTGCAAGGGCACAGTAATTAAATCTCAGTTCAATTCGATCGGTCAGAGAGGCCATTACAGGATTAAGCATTCTTCCTTTCATGTAGGTCCACTATATTTAGGCTGTGGACCAGTTAACACTTGGCTTTTCTCATTCTGAATGGCCCCTAAGTTATGCCTTAAAAATGCCATTTTGTACACAAGTAAGAACTGTACTGAAATGTTTTTCTTTCCATTTTCAACACTTTTTTTACATAAAACAAAACAATCAATTTACTGTCATTTTTATATGATCAACTGAAAAAATTGTTAAGATGGGAAAAATATCAAAAGAATTTTTAAATGTCCAATTTGCTCTATTTGGAGATTCTGAACATAGTGAATGATTGAATCTGACAAACTGTAAAGATATTAGATTATTTCCATTTTTGACACTTTATTACACAATACACAATAACAGGTTTACTATCATTTTTATATAATCAACTAACAATATTGCTAAGATGAAGAAAAAGTCTACAGAACATTTTTACATATCTAATTAGTTCAAAAATGAGTTCTGTAAGCTTACAGCCAAAATATAAAATGGTTTTCCACTTATCGTGTGATTGGTGGTGAAAGTGCATGGCGATGACAGACGCAGGTGATGGCTATATGTACAGACACATCTTTGTCTGTTCATAAAAATCTCTTAAATCTACACATACTTAGTTTTAACTGTGTCCAACTCTGACAGATATGTACATAACACACATGAATACATTCATATATTCACAACTGTGTTATATATATATATTGAGATAACTACAGTAATTTTGAGAGAACACACCCAGACCCTCACCTCTCTCAGGTCTGTGATACTGTATGCATGGCCTGCTGCCAGACCTCCAGAAAGTATCCTGCCACTGGTGCCATCTATAGGCTGAAGTCAAAATTAATCCCTGGTCAGAATCTCATAATTGCCATACATAGAGTGACGAAAAGAATCACTGTTCCAGTCATGTCGATTGTTATTCAAATTCTTAATCCTGTTTAGGAAACTTAGTCAATGATAGATTTATAATTTCATGATCACTTAGAGAGAAATACCCTGTTATTAATAAAGAAGATATTCTTACAAAATCCCTTGTTGCATTGAATGTAATTCAAGTATTTTAACCTGTCTTTGAAATTTGAAACATATATAAGAATATTATAAAATATTCCACAGAGTAAATTTTCATAATTCTCCAATTAACACAGCCCAACATGAAACAATTTACTGTGTCTATACTTACATCAATCCCACACCCCACCAAGGACTGTCTCTCTAGAGACTTAAACAGAATATTGATGGCATTTCTGGGCAGGTCTGCAGTCTTTCCTCTCACCCTGTAGCTCTCAGTGAGACCCCCTGTAAAGTCTGTCAAGGCATCTCTCACCTGACCTGATTTTAATGCTTCATATGAACCATGGAGTCTGAATGGAAGCATTGAAAGTGGCTAATTTTCATTCTGGTACAATGAGAATTAATATTTGGTGGGGAGTGAAAAATCAGAGGCAATGAGATATTTCAAAATTAATGATCATGATACTTATGAATAATAGTCAAGAAACTTCATATATAGCATTATATTTTGTATTTTATTCAGAAATTGGAAATGCATGCACATTTAAGGTGTGAGCCAAGCATTGCCTGACAAAATACCTGTTATTATATTTTATGCATCTTATTTCCATACTTCATATACTAGATTTTATACTGACACAAACAGACATTGGTTTCACTACCATCATCTACATTGATATCTGTATATTACAATATTATTCAAAACTTACAGTAATATAAGCAGCACCTACTTTGCATAAGCTTTTTCTACCAGGGCTGCCCAGAATTCATTGGGTCGTCCTGAATGTATAAACACCGGTTCTCCATTCTTTGTGGGCAAGCGGTCATCAATTATGACCTCTGTCCACTTCCCATATTGCCAAAACTGGAACTTGAGTACGCCAGCATACCAGCCGTCATGGAAACCCTGTCCCCGGGGTACCAGACGGTACAGGAGTTCTGGATTCTCAGAGATGTTGGCTACGGCTGCCACTACCCAACAATCTCCTGGAATATAGCACACAGTGACTGCCCATTAATCAGCTGGGTTCAGGGGGACCAGGGCCGTGGGGGGCGGAAGAAACCCCCTTTTTGATGGGAAAAGGTCCACTCTAGGTAAATTTGATCTAGGTTTACAAATCAAGGATTCTTGACAAAAAGTCTACGTTTTCAGAAAAAGACCCCCTGTTTTGCAACTGCTGGCTACGGGGCCTAGGGACCATGGATGTAATCAGCCACCATGATAACAGTACATGGGGCTTTGAAGTTTATAACATTATTATTATTACTTGTAGTAGTAGCAGTTGTAGTAGTACTGAAGTTGCCATGCTAGATTTGTATCTCCATGTAGTTATGTAGAACTTTTAGACCAAATTGCAAAATTTTGAAAAATTTAAATTTAAGTAAAAAAACTATCAACCATGAAAACATTTCCCTCTCTACACAAAACTTACACTGTAAATGTACCTCACAAATTGTTTTGTCACACCGTGACTTTCCTCAGTGTCACTGTGTGTTACTATGACAATAAAATTAACTTCAAACTTATCAACAGATTCCCATCATCAATCTATATCCTTCATGGTACCCACTTACCTATTTCCTTCATATTACCCAGGCACTTACCTAACTCCCCCTGTCTGACATCAAATCTTACAGCTCCACTCACAAACAGTTGTGGTTTCAAGCCAAACTGACCAGCTATGTCCTACAGAATGAAAAACAGAATTATTTTCCTCATAATAAGTTAAATACACGGCTTGAATAAGTTTACCTCCAAAAAGATCAGGTCACTCATATCAAAGATAATGGTATGAAAGTATTTTGGCTTGTGTTTGATAATTTTCATTTATGATCCAACTACCAAGCTAATTAACATTTTTGCTTACTCATATCAAAGTTCTAAAAAAACTATTTCTTTCACTTAACTCGATCAAGACACTACATGCAGTCATTATTTACCAAACAAATAAATATTTCAAACAGTTCCAATCTTAAAAGTGCTTTGATTTATAGCAAATTAATCTGAGCTCCTTACATGAGGTCTCATCCACTTGATACCATAAGGCGGAAGGCGGCTGAAGTAAAGTGACCTGTCACTGGCTGGAAAATCTGGGTCTTCGTACAGAACTCGGTTTTGCAAACACTCAATTCTAAGAGAGTCAAAGTCCTGCTGGGATGAATTGTTGGTGAGTGTTGCTGCAACCAGCACATTTCTGTCTTGTAAGTTTGTTTCTTGCACATTGTTTTGAAAACCTAAGCCTCTCTCCTGCAAATTTCTCTCCTGGAAGTTTCTGTCTTGTAAGTTTCTGTCTTGGAAGCTTCTTTCTTGCAGATTTCTGTCTTGGAAACTTCTGTCTTGCAAATTCCTCTCTTGAAAGCTCCTTTCTTGTAAGTTTCTCTCCTGCAAGTTTTTATCTTGCGAATTTCTGTAAAATGGCTGCTGCATGCTTTACGGTTCCTCCCCTCACCTAAGTCAATAAAAAATAAATGAAATCATTACAAATGCACTCAGTAAAGTTCAGCTAAAACAGATATCACTTCAACAACAGCAACAAAACACGTAAAACTCAAATTCTCACACTTTCATTGACACTCAGTATTGATGAAAATCAAGCAACACACCTGGGGACTTTCCAATTAAGCCTCTCACTAATTCCCTGAAGACAAAATAATCCACCAAACAGAAATGTAATTATCAATTAATCATATTCAGCTGAGGACAATCTGGACTATTAAAATATTGCCCTTGGCTAACTTCTAAATAATGTGCATGTTAAATTCTGTTCACACAGATATAATAATTGATCAGTCATTTCTATAAGCTCCATTTCGAGGGAATGCCAGTGCTGGGGAGTACACATGCGACCTTGATTACACAAAAGCTGTCCAAGTGCATTAATCACATAAACTGAATTCTGTGTTTGAGCAGGATTACCTGCACACAGGAAATGAATATTTCATATCTACAAATAAAGGATTACATACAGGGGGGGAGGAGTCAACTGACCTGCCTAGAGCGCGTTTGATTCTGTCATTGGAAAGTGCTTTCATTTGTTTACTTTAAAAATGTTGTTTCACAAAACTTTTTTCTGCATTATGTAAAAAGTCTTTCTTATTCTCAAAACAATGATCGAAATAAAACTAGGAGTGAAATTAGCTTAGTCTACCCGGCTTTAATTATATACTGATCATTCAGCAAAGTGCCTCAATATTTATAAAAACATCTTTAAATCCAAGTATGTGTAAATTAAACTAAATTTCAAAATGAACACAATTTACATACTGGCCAACAAGAAAGAAACAAGAAAATCAGCAAAAACTTTAAAGATAACTCACCAAAATGACTTGTCACATGAGCAGTATATTTTTATGAGACAGGACTCCCACAGGCAGATGTTAATATTAACAAATATGTGCAGCAGTTAAATGCATGTTACCTATGCAACAGATGACAAATATGTTCATTTATGTCCACACCTGCAGGGAAGTTAATGCCTGTTTATACCTGGGTGTCTTTGCATTCATTAAGATCACTTATAACACCTGTTCAGGTGGGTAGAGATAGACAAGCAAAAGTAAATACCGAAAGACAGACTAAAACAAATGAGAAGTGTAATATTAAAGTGATTGAAAACTTGATGAAGCAATAACCACAGCCTACTTCTTTTTACTTACATCTGATGATACTGTATACATGTGTATGTGATTAATGGTTAGAACACAGAGGTCATGAGGATTCACATAGCCAACCTAATTAGTTTCAACTTGATATCATTTAATTCATTAACCAGTGGCTACACAGTAAAACACTCTTACCACCTTCAAATATTTCTTTACAACTGACTTGATCATGAATTCCCCTCCCCCTTTTGTGTTCTAGGCCCTGTCTCTGATTATTGCAGGGATAACAAAAAGTAGGACTGAACAATGAAAAACTACCACCAAAGTCTAATAACTGCAGCTTCTCCAAAACCATGACTTCATTATTTCTACCCTGGTATCTAACTGGCCCTGAGGAACCCAACACTTCATCATTAAGATAAATGAATTCTGGTGGAGAATGACAACTAATTTGTATATTACCAATTAGGCAAATCTTTGCAAAATCAATAAGTTACATCATAATAGCTCATCATCCCTAACCTCATTACTTCATGTAGATAAATATTAATCTATATGGAATCACGTCTACTGAAGTTGATATTGTTATGGTAATATACAGTTTGTATTGAATCTTCCACTGAAGTATTTTCTCAGCTGTGTTATTCTCTGGGGTAAAGCCAGTAGTATTTCTTTTGACAACATTTATCTTGTGATAAATTATCTCTATTGAGGGGAAATTAGGACAAAAAGAGAACCAGAGAAATACTTTAACAGGGATATTTTTAGAAGAAAAAGAAGCCATTCTACTAGTCTTAGACTAAGTGCATGCCACTTATGCTTCTTCTTTATTTAAATGAAAGGTTTTACAGTGTTATCATTTAATTTTCAATTCTAGTTTATAAATCAAAATGAAACAAAATAATGATGTGTCTAAACTTGCACTTTATGGGTCCAAGGCTTGATATTAAAGTAAATGCTACCATCAGTATATGTAAAATGAAAATCAAAGTAAACAATCACATCTTTATCAAACATAAAGCTGGTGCACATACTTAAGGCCCCAGGTAGCAGTAAATAGCAGTAAGTCAATCAATTTCTTTATCACTAATGTCAATCAAATTCAGTGATAAAATATGCTACATTCTACAGGTGTTGTATATATATATCCAATAGTCAAGTGCCCTGTTAATCTTCTGCTGTCATATTCAGCAATGTTTCAACTAGAAAACACACTAACCCTAGGAAGTAGAGAATTTATATTTATATCCAACACCTGAGTTTCATAGGAGAGCTCAATTTCTTTCCTAATTCCCATGCCTCCTCTCTCTGAGCTTTGTATTAGGTTAACATAGACTGTCAAGGGTAACATTAATATATAGCTTCTTTTTTTTGGTCATAAAGTGTTTAAATAACAGATATGAGCCTGTTTAAAAAATCTCTGAAAATTCATTGAGGGAGCAGATACTTAATCTTGACAAACCATTATCTCAGGACCCATCAGAATTAAATTTAAACCTAGGTAGCCCATGTGGAAAAATCTTATGTTTGAAATAAATTGCTTAAAATGACCCAAGATCCTAAACTGGCAAACAAATTTCAGTATTAAATAAAAACATACTCATAGCCTAGTTGAACCAATACTTATCTCTGACTTGAAAAGGCATGTTTTTTTAAACCTCCATTACACAAATGCATTGATAGAACTGAACTATGTACATTTCAGGAGTATTGCCAACTGCAACAGAGTTAATAAACAGAAAAAAATGTTTTTTTTTCTACACTAAACAGTACTGGGATAGTACTATTACAGTTGATGTGAATACAATAACATTGGAAATTCCACTGCATGATTTTGCATAAATATTTGGCTTTGTATGTCAACTAAGATAAGGCTCTTTCAACTTTAAGAGTAACTGACTACATAGGCCATGCACAATAATCAGTATTGTGCAAGAACCTGAACTTGTAATGTTGCATAATTATACTGCTTTTTTTAATAATACGGAGAACCTGTATCCTCACATCTTGAGATTTACTAAAGCTACAACTAAGAATATATATATTTAAACTGAAACTGGAATAAGTGGGAGAGGGCTTCTGAATCTATGCGGTACTGTCACTGCACCACTTGCGCTGCCATAAGCCACTAGTACTATATACTACTGATCAGTAAACGTTCAAACTTCTAAGTTTTACAACTAACAGTTACCTAGCTGTACTTTGTACCTTTTGCTAAAGTTCCCGATCTGATAACAAAACAAAGTTTAACCCCTTGTTGGACCTTAACTAGTTTAAGATTATCATCCCCTTTAGATCAACTTTCTCCTCTGTTTCATCTCTGTTTCTACTTAATTTCTTAAAGCATAATTACTCCGGGATGCACGGTAACTTACCTGCATAATCGTTTGCCTCTAACGTTAGATGGCAGCACTTCATTGGTTTTGAACTTTCACTTTGTGCACAAAATTAAAAAAATACAATACAGTACAATACAATAGAGCACGAATAAATATGCACAAAATTGTTACGTTTCCATTAAAAGGTTTTTCTGTTTCAATCAGTGTTTCTTGGAATTTATGCAACAAATTATTTTTTTTGCGCTTAACTGTAGCTCATCTTGCATGTGCACGCACCTGTGGTACCCGCCTCGCTTTCATTGAACAAATTAACGTGATAATTGTCGACATCGAGGTAACTCTCCGCATTTACTTCAGAGTGAGCAGTGTTTGCTTGGGGAAGAGACAGCTCCGTGCAGGGTGTGAGGCATTGACAACTGACAGTTATATACCAAGTATTTAGCATTTGAACTCGTAAGTACACTTTCTATTGGCTGTATAGTTGGAATGATTTCTTAAAGTTATTATGCATATTTTGAGTGGAGCATTTGAAATCTTTTTCCTTAATTGCATCATTGTAATTCATTCAGTTTCAACTCCAGCAGTTTTTTTTATGCAGTAACTGCTCAATCGATTTTTCAGACTCGAAGTGAATTATAAGTGATGTTGCTAAAATCTTAAAACTTCTTGAGAGTAACTTTCATTATCAGCAATCCTTTAATTTTTTTAAAAAGTCTAGATATTATTTTATCTGTTCAAACTTTTCCATCAATTTTGAAAACATAAGTAAGAAATCATTTATAGTGTAAACTTGCTGAAAAACATACTTATGTAGCTTATGGACTTGTAAACATTTCCATCTATTGGAGAGATAATTTGCAATATTGTTAAAGGTTTTCTCTGCACATGCCTGTGCTGCTAATTTGTGTTAGGGTAAAGTTGAGGATCAACCAAACAAGTGTTGCAAAAGTTTGTACTTTTGGATTTGATTAATTTTGTCATCTCTTGAAGAAGTAAACATTTGAGTCATGTCAGTGGTATACATACCTCCTTGTCTACAAGTTCCCTGCTGCTACAATGTGGGTAAATTGATACTACACTACTGGCCATTCCAATTTCAAAGTTAAAGAGTTCAACAGCACATCAGCTAAATGTAAAATTAATGTAATTTTATCTTTTTGTTTACATGACTGATATTGTTCTTTGCAACCCTGAACCTTTTTTTGTTACATTTGCTGAACTTTAAACAAGCAGAATCAATACAGCAAGTCAGAATTTTGGAAATATTGTCCACAATGACACTGCTGTGATTTAAATGTTTACTCTGTATGGAATGATGTAAAGTTTTTTTTTTTGAAAAGTTTGTGACAGTTTAAGCTCAAGGCCATGTGTTACATTTAGACTGAATGTAGCCTAAAGTGATTATTTTAAATGAGTGCATGGGGTGCTGCTTACAATAGTTTTCTCAGTTGTACGATGGCATGCAGGCCCGTAGCCAGCAAATTTAAAAGGGGGGTTCTTTTTTCTGAAAAAGTGGACCTTTTTCCATAAAAACTTCATGAACCTAGATCAAATATTACCCAGAGTGGACCTTTTCCCAGCAGAAGGGGCGGTTCTTTCGAACCTCCCGAACCCCCCCTGGTTACGGGCCTGGCATGTCTTCACCTTTTTTTTTTTTTGACCAGCCCACCCAGTAACACTGGTTCAGCTGATACCTTAATTATCCACTATCTCTTCTTTGATCTTTACTCCCCCCCCCTCCCCCCATGTTTACTGCCAAACAAGACCCTGGCATCATAAGATCTCCTTCTCTATCTCTGTAATACCCCCTTTACACTGGACGGCGTCCTTTCTGCGTCCTTTCTGCGACCATGAAATTTGACATCGCTGTGGTCTTAATAAGGAGGCACAAGCATTGATTTTGTATCAGAATGAATGCTCAATGATCGGCCAGTTGTCGGCACGTAAAGTATTATAATTTTTTAACTCTCAAATAGGGCCGTACTGCTGGACGCAGAAAGGACGCCGTCCAGTGTAAAGGGGGCTTAACTGACTTCTGCTCCTGGTTAATTCTTCCTGGACATCAATGATTGTCACTGGGGAGCCATGTGAGAGAGACAGCATGGCAGCTCTTATCTGGTCAATTTGCTGCTAGCTCAGCAACTGGGCAGAAATGTATGACTGGGTTCCCATACCTAGATTGATCTAACAGGATCGATCCATCTCCGAGGGATTTCTTTCTTAATTGCGTTCAGCTTAAGTCAGCTTAGATGTCTGGCATGCCTACTGAAGATGCTAAACGATAATTACTTTCTAGCAGCTTCAGTAGGCGTGACAGACATCGAAGCCACTTAAGCTGAAAGCAATTTAGCGAGAATCCCCTCTGAGATAGATTGATCCACAGTAAGTTCGATATTCTCTGGGAATGGTCCCTATATCATATTTCTCAGGGGCGGTGTTGACACTTGATAGAAGAGAATTTGAAACGACTGCTGGTTTAGTGAATACAACTGCAGGTTTGTGCATTGCCTAATTATCCTTGTCTATTTAATCGTAGAACTGGCCACTGGGAGGCACCTTATGAGTAATTAACTGCCAACCACCCATGCTTGTGTTCAAAGAGGGGGCAAGGGTCAGTGTAGCTCCAGCATTTATTCCAGCAGCATCTAGTTGAACTGTACTCAGAGAATTCTAGGGGAACATTGGTTTGATTCAAGGTGGACAAATACCGTTTTGCAGAAACCTTAAAAGGCCAAGGACAGAAATGCTTGTAACAACTTTTTGTAAAAGTGTGGAATGACTGATCTTAGATGAGAGGAAATCTACACCTTGATTGATCCTATCCACTTGGTAACAGTGCTGAATATTAATGACATTGAAGGGTAAGCAACAAGGTGGTAAATACCACTGACATTTTAGTTCTGTGTGGGTGTCTGAGTTTCATGTAAATTTGTACCATTAGTCTAAAATAGTTTATTCTGTGTAAAGCTTATGGTTTGGAAGGATCTCGGTATGCTTGTAAATAACGCTAAACTTCTCAGCTTTCCAGTGCTCTTTAGATGTATTCTTATAAATGCTTGTGGATGTCAACGGAAAAAAAACAATCAAGCATGGTGTGTCTGTGACTTGCATACTCTAATGCCAAACATTGCAGGGTGTTTTGTTCCTGACAACTGTTGTGATTCATGTCACATACACTCACTCATCAGCAAGGTGTGACATTGTGACATTCATTCATGCTTTGCATTCATGAGTATCACATGCACTTACCTATTACATAATAATGAGATAAATAAGTTGTCAACAAGTTTTGGAAGACGACAATCAGGTTGATGGTATTCTTCGTCCAGGAGGAGGTAAAGGAAAGCTATGCCTGAGTAATTAAGGGGAGGGGGGGGTTAAGGCAAATGCACTTCTACCCTGTAGATTCATAAAGCCTTTGATGAGCTGTCGCTTACTTATCTTTTTGGTTTATATGCTAAATGTGCAGTATCAGTGAACAGGTTGCTTAATTCAACTGTTGTTACAATACTCTTTAGCAAAGTTAGAGGTCAAGATGCCTCTGGCTTCAAAAAGTTCAGATAATGTAACCATAATGTTTCTTTGTCTTTGCAGTGCTGAGTGACATAGAAGTTTACCATATGTTGTCCGTCACCACTACCCATTAACAGACAATCAACATGGGGCTCCTAACAAGACTAAGGCAGTGGAAGGCCACACATGATCTTCATACTGTCATCACTGTTGAACCTGTTCTATTTCTGTACATGTTGAGCACATTCCTGAAATTTCCCTCATTCCAGGCTTTGGCCATGTATAAGGTTTGCCTGCAGGAATACAATGACACAGTTTTGTGTGAGGATTTCTTCAACCACACCGATGAGAAGGACTACATAGAAAAAGAGGCGTCCCATTGGCTGCTGTACTGTAACATTGCCTTCACCACGCCTTCTGTTCTTGCTGTGATATTCATGGGGTCGTGGATAGACAAAGCACAGAGCAGAATTGTCCTGGTTTTACCAACTGTTGGACAGGTTGTAGAGGGAACATTGCTGTTACTTAATTCAGTGTATATCCACTTGCCTCTTGTTGCCTTCATACCAGGTTCACTAGCTGCTGGAATGTTTGGAGGGTTTGCCACACTTCTCATGGTCTGCTTCAGCTACATAACTGTGATAGCACAGGGAGAAAAGGAGCGCACTATCAGAGTAGCCATTTTGGAATCCATGACGTTCATCGCAGGTGGTCTGGGCTCTGGGCTATCTGGCCTTTTGAAAGATCGCTTTGGATTTGTGACAGTTTTTGCAGTTTCTCTGGTTATAAGTGTTGTACTGCTTGTGTATATAGTGGTGTGGATAAAGGAGCCACAGTCACACATAACTAGGACAGAAATCACATGTGGTCTGCTTTGTAATCATCGTCATTTTGTGGATACTGTGAAATGTGCCATGAAAGAAAGGCCAGGGAAAAGACGCTGTATCATTTGGTTATGTCTTGCTATATTTATAATGAGTCTGGTTGTATTTGGGGGTAAGTGGAATCAATACGCTAAGGACGGATAGTATAAGTGAGCTACTAGTATTGCCTGATTTCTAATATAGTAATTTAAATCTCCTTAATATCTTTGATAAAATATTTAACAGATTCCCATCTTTTTCTTAAGATCATGCAAAGGTGAATTTCATGTTCGTTTTATGGTCATTTTGATTATGAAAAGTTGTAATACATAATGTTAATGCACCAAACATGGAGATGCCCATTTTATAGTATTCTTATCATTCATAACATGTTTTCTCCTCTGTCTTCAGAGCTCTTGAATTGAGTTAATAAAAAGGCAATTTATTTTTATAGAGAAAAAAAAATGCCAGGAACAATATTAAATATTTCCCCCTAATTTTCTCCTTTCCCCCAACAGGTGCTGAGGATGTGACCTATCTCTATTTCAAGTATGTTATCAAAGATTGGACCACCGCTTTGTATGGAGGATTCCTGGCTTTCAAGTTCACCATGTATGGTATAAGTCTCCTAGTTATCCTGCCTCTGCTGAAGAAATTTGGTTCGCTACGTGATGCCACACTAGGTGTCCTGGGTCTACTTGGAGCATGCGCTGGGTCAGTGATACTGATATTTACTACCACAGTGATGATGGCTTTCACAGGTAACTGATATGTGGGTTCACATGAAAGCTGAACTCACTCTGAAATGCTTAATTAAAAAAGGTTAAAGAATGTAAAAGTTTCAAAAATATTATTGATTAGTGTTGCTTGATTGTAAAATGAAAAATTGGCTTGACAATGTAAACATAAATTTTGTACATTGTTTTTACCCTCTTGTTGGGAGATTTATTTTGAGAAAAAAATAAATTTAAATACAGAATTTACTAGTAAATTGTATTGATAATTAATTGCCATGTTATTCAGTCAGTTGGTTATTGTTTCCAGCTCCTCTTTTCCTTGGAATGAAGGGCCTGTCAGCGGCACCTATTAGAGCCATTATTTCAAAAATGGTGGAGGTGGAGGAACAAGGTAAGCAACAAGTTTTTCCCAAATTTAAATAAATTGAGGGTTGTCATTAGAGATCTTTTTCAACTCTAAATTAATCACATTTAAAGTCCTTTGTTCCAAATGTTCAAAGTGATGGTAAATAGACAATTCTTGCATTCCTGTCACTATAGCAGCTGTTTATTACTTCCAACAGTAATCAGGAAACAAAAAGCATATACTCATAAATATAAATTGAAGCTTACATTAACAGCCCCATTTTATTCCAAGCTATTTAAATGATTCTGGCTTTTGACAGCTTGTCCAGGGTTCTGGTAAAGTACACAAACACGCAGGTCTTTTTGAATTGAATTTGCTCTTTTTGCACTTATTTTGCATCCAGGGTAGATGGACAATCTTTTCTTAACATTGTTACTACTATAAGCATTTTGTATAATAGTTGGTTTGAAACTTAAGCGCAATTTAAGGCAGAAAATAATTTATAGGTAATGGACATAGCCTTCTTCTTGACTTAAATATTTTTATTAGACTAAATTTGATTTATAAACTATTTTAAAGGCTGTATGGTCTAACAGTGTGTTTATGTGGTCTAGTTGTTAAGAAATAAGGTTTTATTACAAATAAATACGTAATATATCATGCATTTAAGTACGATGTCAATATTTGTTTTGCGCTGACACGATTTCTCACCTTTTCTGTTAGTTTTATACAGCATGCGAAAATTGTGAATCGGACATGGATTTGATTCACAAAAAAAAAAATGTTTGTTTGTAATAAAAATTCCATTTACTTTCTCTGAACTAGAAAGTAGATATAAAACAACTTTTTGAAATATTAACATGATAGCTGATCTTACTTAAGTGTAATAACGACATGGATTTCAGGTAAAATCTTTGCCATAGTCGCTGTGGTGGAGGTGGTGGGAGTGCTGATGGCATCCGTGATCTACAACAGTTTGTGGCCGGCTACTCTGGAGTTTTTTCCTGGCTTTGTGTTTGCTCTAAGCTTGGGGATACTGACATTTTCCTTGATTTTGATGCTGTAAGTACCACTTAAATATATTGCTTTATCTTGGTGTTTAGATGGATGTTTTTCACTGACAGTATGTCGCTTTTAAAATAATTTTTGTTAAAATAAGGCTGTAATATGCGAGTGAGAATCGTATAGAACAACTCTCAAGAAGAATGGAAATTACAACTACTGATTTTATTTTTGTGGGTGCTGAGATACATAAAATGCATTACTACTGGGAGGTGACCTTAAAGGGTTACAAGGGTTACTGCTGTCAAGCTTGTTTGGTTTTCACTGCAACTTTGAGGATACTTGTTAGCAGTGACTTTAGAAGACCAGGCACTTGAACTGTAATGTTTGTCTGTATCCAGAATAACTGAATACTTGAACTACCAATCATTAAAAAATATAGCAACCTTCTTAAAGTTTATAGTTCAATATGATGTTGACTGTTTTGTTTAATTCCCAAATTACATTTTGTAAGAAATGAAAGGAAGTTTAATATAAAACGCCCATGATGGAGAGCAGTGGCATGAAGATTTTTAATAATAGCTTATACTTGTCTGTAACAATTTCAGAAACGTTACATTTTACTATATTGACACCTTGGGGTTTAACATTACTAAACATGTTTATTTGATAGGATTATAAGGCACCTGGTGTCTAAAGAAGTGGAGTCTGGTCTTGCTTATGGAGTATTTAATGATGAAGATAAGGGAGAAGATGGAACTGAAACGAACATTATAGATCCTGCTCTAGCATAACAGGCACAGATGTTCCAAGAATTATGGAGGATCCGATGGGTTTAACTCTGAACTCTGGGTGGATGACATTTTTCACAGATAAGATGTGCCACAAGATCATTGGACTGTCTCTACAGAAGTATTTTAATTCAAAGGTGCCACATGAAGCCTTCTGAAGGTTTGATAGAACTAATTGTTCTATAAATTTGTTGCCCATAGTGCTCTAGGAGAAAATTTCTTTTAGCCAAAATGCTGGAAAATTTGCGTTAAATTTGACATTTCCTTTAGTTATATAAGAATGTAAGCATTCTGCTAAAACATATTTTCCTAGTATGAGCATTGTGTTGCATGTGTTATGGTGATTTATATACAGCAATATAAGTACTGCCCAATTATTGGTTTCAGGATTTTGTAGTTTTCCATTGAGGGGGGAAAAAAGTATTGGCACATTGCCAAACTTATTGTGGAATTTGATCTGCTTCTTGCATAATTGCCCTTTGGCTTTTACTTTGTGCAACTGTTATTTTTTACTGCTACATTTATCTTGGATTAAGTATGTATTTTGAACTAGCTTCTACAAGAATCTTGTTTATTATATATAAAACATTTAACAGGTTTGTGTATCCTTTTCACCCTAGAGAGTTAAAAACTATATATGTGAAAATAGTGCAACCGTGGCACGACAACAAATGATTGTCCTTTCAAAAAGTCTTTATTCCGACTGATCTTACATAAAATACAGTACTTTCTTCATGTCAGATCACTGGTGTATCTCTCTCGAATTACGCGCCAAAAGCTTTTTATAGTATCGGGTCACATGACCCACATGACACAAGAAGGGTGCTAACGTGTGATTCACTGGCCCAAGACATGTTTTCAGTGGCCTTGGCCCAGCAGGCCAGTGTTAATGCTGAGCCCTGTCCTCAGTGATGGTGATTATGTGCAGTGTAAAGTCGGTCCATCACATTTTTATTAAAACTGACACTTTGAATGTCCTTCTCTTTTTGTTGGTTGTTTTTTTTCCCCTTTTATAAATTAGTTTTCTTTTTGTCCATATTTTACGATACTTGCAGTTTCATGGAGTCTGTAAAGTGTAGACCCAATATTCATTCCATTAAATTTTTGTAGCTCCATTTGTCAGTCACTTTGCTTATGGGCAAATCTTCCTTGATCATCCAGTAAATGGTCCTCAGTTGGATGCTTAAGTTATCAGTTGTTGTTGTTTTTTTTCAGCATTAGTTATTGCTGTTTTGAATGTAGCAGCTTGCTGCTTCTCGGAATACGTATGATGCAACAAGGCTTCGTGTGTCATAAGACTACTGCGTTGAAAATCCAAACAGCCAATTGTAAAAATATTTTTGGATTTTCCTGCCCAGCAGATGACACAAAACATTTTACCGCTTTCAAAATTTAGCCACTTGAAATCATTTATCCCTGCCAGAATGAAGAGTCTGCTTTCTTTTGGCGCACGTGGACCACTCTTTTCCAAGGCCATGATTGCATAAGCCACCTGACTATAATACCTGAAGCATATCGATCAACCTCAATTCAGTTGCATTGGATTTCTTTAAGGTGTTCTGATCATTGACTTTTGTCATCAGACAGCATACCATAGAACACAACACGTCTTGTTGAGATGTTATATCGGTAAACTTAATTGGAAAGAATAAACAAAATATAAATACAAAGGCAATAAGGGGACACTGCAATTTGAATTGAATTCAATTGCCTGATTTAATTTAGCAAGCAAGTAGGCCGAGCTATTCTCAGTTTTTATGAGCAATATAAGGCATACTATTGTTACCGTCTGCGTTTCATTATGCCGTTCGTTGGTTGTTGGAAATACTTACCAAAAATACAGGTACTTCAATTCCGACCGTGGATCTCATGTGCAAGATCAGAGGGTGGCTGACTAGCTGTGTAACAACAGTCCGAACATCGTCTGGTGCCCCTGTACTTTTCCGCTGTAAATCTCTTAACAGGTCATCAAATTGGGATGCCTAAGCTAATGCCTCGATTTCCTGTCTTGATTCAGTGGGCCTCGTCCTAGCAGCAGGCCGACAGCGGCCACGGTTAGACATATTAGACATGCCGCCAAACCTGTTATTGGGCACAGCCATGTTTGATGTGGTGACATCATTGTTCTGTGCGGTCACGTGAATCTTGACGAGTCATGTGAAATTTGAAGCCAATTTTGCTGTCTTGAAGGCGATTTTGCCATCTTGAACTTAAATTTATCTTGCGCTGATATTCTGTTGTTTTGAATGAAAATTTCCGATTTGAAGCTATTTTTCAAATCTAGACGATGGAAATGTATGAATTGAGACAAAATATTTGTCTTGAACGTATTTTTGATGTCTTGAAGGAAATTTTCCCATCTTGAATTTTTTCCGCTTTGGCGTGCTATACTATACAGCAAGATTGAAACAGTGCACTCGGTAGGATTTAGGAGTACCGTACCCCTTGCCCAAAAAAAGAAGGGGTAATTTTCAAAATGAAGGGGTAAAATTAAAAAATGCTCATCAAGGTGTAATTTTGTGTATTAATAATCATGCAATCACACAGTTCACTTTCATAACAATAACCCACTATCCTTTTATCCAAAATCTTTTATTATTGCAATTTAACAAAAAGAAAACAAAAACAAAATGGACAGGTCACGCATAGGTCACGACTAGATACTGTGTTTCTTTGACTAGAGTAAAAGTAACTGGTGCTACCTAGTAAATGTAACAAAAGGAAAACATTCCTCTTTTGGCTTGAAAACAAAAATCTCAAAATAAATATAATAATAACAATCTCAAAATAAAAGATCTCATTTTAAAAAATTTACAATCTATTCTTGACTGAGATTTAAAAATGCTCCTGGCCTAACTGCTTCCTTAGTAAAGTTTTTAAAAAAACAAGCGTTCTGTAATAGTTGGGAGAGGGAGAGATAGAGAACGGCGCCAAAATGTCTGGACACTGACAAGTAGTCACCCAGTATCCGTCTCTGTCAAACAAGCATTTTTTAGTATACTATTTGAGAAGGGACACAAAATTTACATATTTAGCCATTTTAATCAATCAAAATGTTCATACTTCTTACTCTTCCTAGTGTTTCTCCCTAAAATTGATGCCGACAAAAAGTAGGTCAAGTCGGGAACATTAGGCACCCGTCGTTTTTAAGTTTTACTAAATTGTTTATAAAAATTAAACCTTTGCTTTCAATTTGTAAATAATTACTAGAAATATTATTTCACAGTTTGTTGAAAGATAATTTTTATTTATGTTTGTTAGCGCAGCACTTCAAGTTCAACTGTTTTCTAAGCTGGCCAAATCTGGAGCTAGCCGGTTGCTGCAAACCACTTTGTTTCCAACCGGCAAATGACTGCCAATAATAAACGATCTATTTTGTCTGTGATAATAAATTTTACACTTCAAATTTTCCGGGCAAGTGAACAGCCGAAAGTCACTTGCGTTTCCGGGCAACTACCAGCTAAATTTTAGTTGCCCGGCTGATAAAACTAGTTGCGAAACGCAACCATCGCAAGTAG